AGTTGTTTGTCGGGTTGTGCGTTAAACATTGTTGAAGAGAATCTAAAGCTAAAAGATAATGAACGTAGAAGAAAGCAAAGATGGATTATTAATGAATGGCGGGTACAATGAATGTGAGTGTTTGTGAGAAACACGCAGGATTTTGACTTGGGGAAGGGATCCCCACAAGTGCAAAGACAACTTTTATCAAGTGTATCATCAAACTCCACTCAGAGAGTGTGTCTGGGCATGGATGGGAACAGATGAATATCATTCCCATAAATGTATATCTTTCTCAATTAAATAATGCATTATCATGGTCTATTGCACCGAGATAGCATCCAAACATTATGGGGATTTAAAAGCGATGGATCAACCCATTGATTGATAGATTTTTTCCCCCTTTTTCGCTCTCTACCATTTTTTAGCATTCAATATATCATCAATATATCATCAACTTTATTCCTCTGTTACCAACAAAAGCAAAAAGATTGGTCTAATTAATAAATATTTGACTCATAACTTATAAAATTATAAAATTAAATTTTATTATTAATATAAAAATTTATTGGTAATTTTTTGTGAATGCCTCTCTAAATTTTTTTAGCCTGAAAGCATAGTATCCTAGCTTTGGTGAGTTCCTGAATCCCTAAATATTCTTTATGAAAAAAAAGTTTATTCCTTTTGGGATGTAATAAGTGTGAGTCAATTAAGGAAAAGTTTCACATTGTATATAATATTATAATAGGGTTGAGAAAGATATAAATATAAGTAAAAAATAAAAAGACGCGTAAATTAAAAGACTCAAGGTTTTTGGGCTAAAATGTTGTATTGTGTCTATTTCCATGCCTTCTTGAAATGGTGAGCCCAACTTTCTTTCTTTCTTTATTTTTATTGATATAATTATTAGGAAGAATTTCAATCAATAATCATAAATATGACTTAATTATTAGTGAATTTTAAAAAGTTTAAAACTTCAATTCAGTTTAGTAAGATTGAAATGAAAATAATTTTAATGATAAAAAAAATCAAAGCACCCTTCACTTACCACGTAAAATCATTAATTATTAATTTTTTTATTTTATTTATTAATTTATCAATATGAGTTATAAATTATATCCGTGTGTGAGACAAGCACAACATCAGTTTTTGATAAAAAGTAAAATGTGAAAAAATATAACACATTTTGATATTTTCAAGGTATAATTCATCATGTTTTTTATTTTTCAAAATTGCTCTTAATCAAGGATGTACTTAATAATATTTATTAATTAAGACAACATATTAAATAAGAGTAAATATAAAAAATGTATAATTTTAAATGTTATAGGAGATTATAAATTAGTTAAAATTATTTTATATTTAGGATCTAGTACTATTGGGGGGAATTGAATCACATTTACTTGAACCAATTACCATTAAAATACCATCCGCTAATCTAAATTCAAACAGTGTTGGGGTTGAAATAATAGTTAGTAATTTGGGGTAATTATTTTCATATATAAAATTTAAACTAAAAATCTACTAAAATTAAAGAGATATTCAATTGATTTTAGCTGATTCAACTATTGTTGATAGAAATAAAAGGATAGATTAATGGATAGATGTACATGTTAGAATGGACCATGTTACTTTAAATTTGTACATTTGACAGAAAAGGAGGTGGAAAGTTGGCAAAGTGATGTCTTTTTTATAAATCAAAATCAATTTTGTGTTGATGGGCCATGGATATGACTATTTTTTCGGCCTCTCAATTGGTTCATGTGTTTCTATCTAACGTAACAACGAACAAGCCTCTTCTTTTATGGTTGTAAAGCAAACTAAGAAATGACATTTACTGTGTCTCACTTTTCTTTGTCTTATAAAATCCAAATTTCAAAAGGTACTTTTGTTTTGCTTTTTACGGAAACGAATGAGTCATCTTCATGTCACACTACTCTCCCATTGCACTGTTTTACTATATTACTTTATTTTTCATATTTATGTAATTTTATTGTATATACTTTTTTTTAAAAAAAAAAGGCAAAGTAGAATTGCAAATTTTCTGATTGAACATGCCATTTCTCGGAATATTTGTGGTAACCAAGCCATAATTAATCTGTGAAAGATTAATTTAATTACTAAACAGGTAAGGTTTTCTCCTTGTACCTCCCCTGTTTTTTTTTTTAATGGCCTATTTAACAACTTTTGAGAAATTCTTAGGTCCTCCACCTAATTTATGCTCTTTTAAATAAAAATACATTAAATTACATTATTTTAATCCTATATGGAAGGCCCTTAACTTATGATATTTTAGTGGATATATATTTTTAAGGGGGAAAAAACACAGCATCTTCTTCCTGCGTCTCCCTTAATGGTTTTTTTTCCCCTTAAAAATTAAAATATGAACATTAAATTATTATAAATCAAAGGGCAGACACGTAGGATTAAAATAACGTGAATTGGTGTATTTATATTAGAAGGAGTGTACGCCTAAGAATTTCTCAACAACTTTTATATGGATTAAGAAATTCAGTTACATTTAGTTAATGCTCTTAAAATTTTAAAATTACCCCCATTAAAAATTATTAATTAGAGGAGGTTCTTTAATAAGTTAAGAAATACTATAGTAAAGGACATTTCCAAAAATTTAGCATCAATAGAATGGAAGGAGTATTAAGGAACAAGGATCATATGAAAAGTTTTAGAATAAAATACAGTGATCATTTTCAAAACCTAAACCTTAGCATCATTAGGAATATTCCATTCAAGATTTTAAAATACTTAATTTTTAGTTTTAATTATGTCAAAAATTTTAAAATTATTAATTTTTTCTTAAAATCTAATTGCCTACCCTCTCTCCCAATTTAAAAAAAATTAAACAATTAAGATTGTCAATATTGAAATAAATAATTTAAAATTTTTATGTTTAAATTAATGAAATTAAAAAATAAATATAAATTATACTCCGTTTAAATATGTAAGGCATTTTTTTTAGGAGTTGAATGTTAAAAAATGTAATATATTTTTAATCTTTTAATGTGTAATCATTATTTTTTTAAAAAAAAAGTATCCTTATTGATAATGAGTTTATATTTATTGTAGGGTATTTAATAGGGATACATATGAAAAGATAGGGTTAGTTGAAAAGTAAGTAACTATTTTATTGAAGGTGATATTCGATTAAAAATGTCTGACATTTTTTAACATAGGAAGTATTGAGTAATTTATTATATTAAATTCTTATTTCTTAAATTTTTTACGAAAATATTTTCTAATTTTTTTGAGTTGCATGTTTGAATATTATTTTTATCAATTTATGTATTTAATTTTTTTTAAAAAATTACTGAATAAATAAATTTAAACAATAAAAATTTAAAATATAAATGAAAAAGTAAAAAATGTATGCATTAATTTATTTTGAGTAATTTGTATGATTTTCAAACAATACATATTTAAAAATGAGTATTTTAATCAAACATATATAACTTAATGATCAAATAATGATTTAATAAATGAAAATAAAATATTAAAAATAAAAAAATATTTATATTTTATAATTATTAATATTAAAAGGATTCATATAAATTTTAAAAATGAAAAAAAATAATTGTACTTAAAATAAAATAGAAAAAAATATAAAATATTTTATTTAAATTTTTTTTTTGGTATTAAAAGCCTTGGGATTAGTATAGTTTTCAGAATTTAGACAGTTTCGTACAATGATGAGACTACGTATGTTTGATTTCTTAAACAGATAACGGACGTTGGGCTGTGATATACTGATATTTAGCATGTCGCTGCAGAACTGTTGCACACTGGGCCATGTTGCATGTCAATTAATGACAAACACTATTCTTGATGGGACTTTCACTGATTTAAAATTAAGTGAAATATATTTCTTTTAATTCTATTTTATAAAATTTTTTAATATATTTTATTAATATTAAATTTTTTAAAACTTTTTTTTATTTTAAAATTTAATAAATTTTTAACTTTATCTTTATTAAATATATATATTTTAATAATATATTTTCTTTCTCCAACATTTAGTAAAAAATAAAATAAAAAATTTATAATAAAAATTTAATAAAATAATTTATAAATAAGATTAAAAGAATCATTCATTCTTTGTTTTATAAATAAAACAAGAGGATATATATGTATATTTGTGTATACATTTAAACATCATTCGGTCGTTATTAAATAAATAATTTCATGATACGTGGAATTCTTCCAGTGACACCCTGTAATTTTAGCACAGTGGTGTTTTGCATAAAGTTTGATCATTTTTTATAATTATTTTTTTTCCTGTTTATCTCAGAGAATCCTAGATGATAATCATCATCTTTAATCAACACTGTTCAAATTTAGACAAATTATTTTTCTTTTTATTTTATGTAATTAATTGTTTTTATAATTTAACATTTTTCCATTATAAAACAAAGTTTAAGATGGAAGATCATTTTTTACTATTAAGTTAAAAATAATATTTTAAATTAAAATATTAAATGTCTAAATTAAATTTGACTGTGCTTATTACTTGCATTCCATCTTAATCCACACACAGGAAAGAACTTGGAATTTGCATATCATTCATGCACCAAAGCATTCAATACACATTCACGCTTAATGAAGCCCCATCGTTTTCACTGTATTATTATATAATTGATCCAACTAATCGTTATTTGATTGGCCATGCTGATCGTGAAATGTTCAACACAACGATTTTACACGATTCACCTTTTAAATGTAACAACGTTTTGAACTCTAATTTACTCTAATTTTACTGTCTTTAACATGGCTTAGGTTGTGGCATTGTATTAAGAAAAAAAAAAAAAAACTAGTATGTACAATGTAAACTTGCTAAGCAAGGATTGAATTGTCACAAGTAAGTAGTGTATGCACCCACACCCTATATATATTCACTAAACCATGTAGCAGAAACAAGAAACAAATATGAATGCCTCCTGAGTCCTGGTAACTAATAATTTGCATTTGCTCACATGTATTACTGTATTAGGCATGCCAAATGTATAAATCTCAAATCCTGTAGATTACCTGACTTCTAATCAAAATAATGAGTTCCTGGGGCTTGTTTATAACAAAATTTCTAGCTACATGCAAAAGTGATTTGCATTATTTTATATTAATGAGAAGATTGGGATAAAAAAAAGTGATCGAACTGTGCACACTCCCAAACTGTCAAAAAATGCTGACTCTGCTGTGATTCAGAAAGATCACTAGGACAAAAAATGGTTGGTAAGTAAAATCTAATCAGCAAATGGTTTCACAGCTCATGTCTGATTCAAGCACAAGATGATGGAAGAAGCATGTTATTCAATGTTGTGTCTTGGGAAGAATCAAGAATAGTAGTGTGTCTGAGAAGCAGCAAGAAACAAAGCACCAGTGCCAGCACCTCCATGTGGAGTTTGAATGATGACATTGTCAGAGAGATCGTTTCCCAGCATTTCCCAGACACCACTGTGAAGGTAATTTCGGAAGATCCGATAATGTTCATACAATCCACCTTCCACTGTCACCACACTTCTTCTGCTCTGTATTCTTTCAAGCTTCTTCACCATCCCCACTATTCCTGCTGCAGCAAGACGTGCCCCTCGTTCTGTTACTATGTCACACACCTCTGCCACTACTTCTCGTGCCATCTCACTCGAATCTGTTATCTGCTTCACCCCCAAATTATAAAAAAAGATTTGATTTTTTCATTTCAATGCAAGGTATATATGTTTTCTGAGAAATCCTTACCCCGAAAACCTCTCTCAGTTTTTCCATTACTACTTCCCGATACTCTGACGTGTCTTGATGCATTGCTGCCATGTCAGGTGCTCTGCACAGTGCCAAGTGAATTACGCCAAGAAAAACATTAGTTCTCCGTTCTTGCTTTCAAGGATAGGATTATACAATACCTTAGTTGATAGGGAATCATAAGCTGAGGAGGTACTCTGTCTCCGAACAGAGCTGTTTCTTGAGCCAACTTCAACAAGACTCGTCTCACAATTTCTCCCAAGTACATGCCCGAAACAACCTTGCCGAAAGTCTGTAAGTTGGAAGAAACAATATTCAGAGCGAATCTTTATATATATATATATATATATATGCCATGGAACAGATTGCTGCCGAAGTGGCTGGTTTATGATACCTCGCCACCAGGATTAGAGCTTTCAGCATCTAAACTATCATCAAATTGTGTGAGTGGCAGATGTGAGGACCTGAAGTTTCTCCATTCCGTGCTAATAACCTGCATTATTAGTCATGTTATTACCTTGAATTAATCTGTTCATGGTCAAACGGAGAGGCTAATTTTTTTTTTTTTTACTGCGTGTATTTAATGGTCACTAACCAGCTCGCCTGATTCAGGTTTTTGGTGAATCCATCTGGGAACATCTTGAGATGATTCAACATAAACAGCATTTGTGCTCATTCCCAATGTGACTGCAGCAACATTGTCCCTACTGTAGTACCTTCCTCCAGACAAACCCCCTACAGTATCCTCAACCTACTCACCATTTGAAATTTTCACTGCTTCGCAACTTAAACTAAAACTAAATGCATGCGTGTTTAAGATTTGGATTTTGAGTGTCTTGAGTCTTCTCACCTAGTGAGTGTCTATACTGTAATTGTAGAATTTCATCAATTTTTAAAAATTAATACTTAAATAGAAATGAATAAAACAGTGAGTTGAAGAACAATTATACAAGGTTACATTTTATGTTTTTAACCATTTCTCTAAAGCCAATTGGAGACACGGGATTGTGGGTTAGTGCATACAGAAAATGTAAAAATAATAAAAATTAAAATTAAAATACTGTTATTTTTTATAAAAGTAATATAAATTTGAATTTAAGAGGTCCAAAATTTAAAATCTCTTAAGTGAAATATCAGAAGCTCAATTTTTTTAGAACTCAAATATGTTTTATTTTGAGTCTAATGGATTCAAAATTATTGGGGAAGTAGAGCAAATTTTCAAAAGTTACCATACATACTTACAAATTCCTGTAAGTTGAAGGCACCTGCTTACCCGATCAATTTCAAATAGATCTTCACTGTTGGATTAAGGTATAGAGTACAATAAAATAGTGATTTGGTATTTTTTTCTTTATCCTATGCTTATATCTCCTTGGTCAATCATTCGATTAAGTCAATTATTTTTACCATGCCACATAACACACTCAATGGGCGAGAAGATTTCAGATATTAAATCATCAGGATCTATTTGTGTGAAAGAGGGAGGGGAGTTAATTACCATAGCAACAACTTGAATGTTATTGATCCCATGGTTCTTTAAGGCTTGATTGAAGTCATTGACCATCTCTTTCCCGACCTATGGTTACAGGACACCAAAATATATACAAAGTCATGTAGCATGCATGCATGTGCATAACAATAACGCAAGTACTGTGAAACCAAACTCAACTGGGTCTTCTGCGGAGAAGGTTTTCCAGTGGTTTAATGTAGTACCAGCTTGGCCGACCAGGTTAGACAAAGTGAACCCCAGTTTCTTTGGAACGTTAGATATTTCCTTCTCAGGATGTGCCACAATAAATTTCGCTATCTCTGTAGCCACAAACTCAAACACCACCTGCCAGCCACACAGTTCACAGGTTCAATATTATGTATCAATCGCAGACAAGAAACTTTAGGTTACGAGGAAGAAGATATATACCTGTCTAGTTGCATCCAGGAGATCAGGAGGGAAGGAGATTTCTTCTCTGTCTAAGTCAGAGACGTGGCTGTTCTTTCCTCTGAGACGAGCACACAAAATCAAGAAGTTTGTGCTTCTCATGTTAACCCCGTAGAAGAAACCTTCCTCTTCTCTGTCAATGCCAAATAATTTAACCTAACTGAATGAAAAAACACACACAGGAAAAGGCATTTTGAACAGAAGAGGAAGAAGTACCCATTAGGGAGCGATGCAGCATACGAAATGATCATCTTGAGAGTGGTGGCTTCGTCGGAGGAAGAAGCGAGAGAGGCTTTCATGTCGGAAACTAAGTCATCGGCGACGAGCCAGAGGGTTTTGACAGGAGTGGCACATTCCCTTGCGAATTTACGTACGAGGTTTCGTGTTTGCCTCCCTTGTCTCTCTTTCTTCTTCTTCCATCTCTTGATCAGACCAACTGCTGCGACCAGTGCCAAGGTTGTGCCCAGTGAAGCTATCACCACCACCTCCTTCCTCATCCTTCTTTGTCTCTGTAATCATTCCATGATCAGATCACTGATCCTTTGTTTGGAGGTTGATTTGGTTAGTGCGTCCTAACTGTTATTCCTATTATGGAATTGAAATAACTGAAATCCGTTAATCCTGTGCATAGAGGAACGAGCATCATGGGTTTGGCAACAAAAATCTTTATTTTTTTTTTGAATTTTTTTTAAAAATAATAAAGATCCAAGTTTGAATCCAATGTTATTCGGCTGACTTATCTCTAGAGCTGCAATTGGAGTTGGTCCGGCCTACAATAGCCCAAGTCTGGCTTCGTTGACAGCTTCCAGCTGGGTCCAAAAGCGGACATAATTTTTACAATTTCGCTAATACAGCTATTTAAAGAATTTTATCATTTTTATGTATTAATTCCATTTCAACTCTATTATTTTATAATATTAACAATTTCAACAAAATTGAAAAGAGAGAGAGAGAAATATAGGGGCTAAAAAGGTTAGCCTGCTTTCGAAGGGCTTATAAAAATTGAGCCTAAAGACTCCTTCACGTCAAAATCTCTCATTTTATAAGCTTGTTCCTTAAAAAAAAAAAATATAAAGTTTAAATGAGTTGTCCGAAAAGAGCACCCCTTATTGGCAAATGACCACTATGTCCAATCTGTAAACTGCACGAAATTTTAGATTACTAATTATTGTCAGTTACTAAAAAAAAGGTTTCTAGATTATTGTAAATTATACAAGGGTTATCCTTTTTTTTATTTTTTTTTCTAATTGAATGTTCGAAGGTTTCTTAAAACAAATGCTTTGCCACAAAACATATAGAGAAGTCCTAAAATTAGTAAATTACCCAAAACAAACACTATCAAGAGGCCCAACATAAATTGAAGTCAAAACCCGTCAAAAGTTTGGCCTTCGAACAAGTTTTCAACCAAAACCGTGCTCAAAGTCGTAAAGCACAACATTTTGGGCCCCAAAAAAGGAGCAATCACATATAAAGCTCTAGACTAAACTTCAATGCATTTTTGTATCAAAAAAATAAACTTCAATGCATTTTGAGTTGTTTTCGCAGGCTTAAAAGTCTCAAATGTAAATATATTTTTCAAAAAAAAGTATATCTGTCGCGAAATATAAATGACAAACAGACATTATGTTTCATGCAATAGACATTATCATATTTTTTATGATATTATATTGTATATACACCTGAAAAACCTACATATTATTATTCAATTTAATCTCTCAGATTAATTCATGTTTAACAAATGATCATATGTTTGTCACACATAGACTCTGTCATGTTATTTACATACATTGTGCTGTACTTATATTTGAAAAACTTTTACATTTGGGGCAAATGTGTCTTTTTTCAAAGAAACATTTGCATTTGGGGTCTTAGACTTGTAGAAATTATTCAGAATATATTGGGCTTTAGGTAAAAAAGAATCCATTCTAAGAGCCTGTCGCACCCAGAAATGCGATATAGAAGGCGCGAGAGCAGAGGTTTTGGCCTTCAGAAAAAAGATTGGAGAAATGAGAGTCACCACCAAGATTTTGAGGAAAATCTTGGGAAATTGTTTAATGAAGGATAAGAATGGTCTGCGAAATCAAAGAATAGATTCGAAAGTCGATTGAATGTGGGAAAGGTGTTAGGCATCCCACAACACCCGTTCGTGAGAATGGTTACCTAAAGTTTGTTATGCTATGTAAATATGGTTTTAAAATTATTTTAATTATCCCTTTTATATTCATGTGATTAATATAAAAAAAGATAAGGATTAAGTGAAAAATATTTATTTATTTACGAGAAAGGACTTGACTCAGAATTCGACTTTGAGGCCTATGTACCCTGTGATGGGGATCAAAGTCCACGTAGTTCGGGCATTATAAGTTGTTGGTGAAAATATTTTTGAAGAGCGATTAATTAAAAATGATTTACCATTTTACAAATAAAACAATTTTTAAAATTTTGGTATGTGTATTTTAAATTACAAAAAAGTGATTTAATTTCAATCATTTTCTCAATTTTTGAATTTTTTTTGTTGAAATAAAGAAAAGAGTTTTAAAATTATTTTTCATGTTTTATTATTTTTTTAGAAAATTTAACTGCTATACCTGCAGAGCCTTATTAGCTCATACGATAATACAATTATTCTAAATATTTGCAAAGATTTTAAAATCTCTCACGATAAAAGGGTGAAATAATGTAAATATTTTAAATACATTTTTAATGTGTAATTATATAATTTACATTTTTAAACATAAAAATTTTAATCACTATACTTGCGAAGTCTTATTGACTTTCACGGTAAGATGATTATTCTAGATGTCTATAGACATTCAAAAATCTCATATGACCAAAAGATTTAGTACATTAATTTAATTAATTAATTTTATTATTAAAAAAATTTATAATTTTATTTGCAAAATTATTTATTTACTATATAAATTAATAATTGCAAGATTCTACGAGAATTTATTATCCCACACAATAATACACTTAATTTAATTCTTTATAAATATTCTTAAAATCTCTCATGAGGTTTAAATATTTTGTTAATTATAAAAAGAGAATTAATTCTAATGATGAGTTTTTGGAACCCACATTATTATATACAAAATTAATTCTCATACCTGCATAATCTTATTGATTTTCACGATATAGGATCATTTTAAATGCTTGTGGAGATTCTAAATTTCTCTTAAGATATTGGTTATTTAAGAATATTCCTCTTTTGTTATCTATCATCCAAAAATATTTGTATTTCACTTTACAAATGAATTTTAACAATGATAATTTAAAGTTTTATATATCAAATTGCACATGTAGAGAAACATGGATATAAAAATTCAGCTCAAGAATGTCTCTGTACAGGAAGAGAAAAATTTACCAATTAAGCTATAGGCTGTAACAAACTAATAGAGGAAGAATAGCTCTCAAAATCATAAAAATTCTAGGGATGAAACTAAACAGGCAAGAGAATATCTGTGCAAAATATCAATTACCATGCAAATGCAAATATATAAAAAATCAACAAAGTAGGTTGTATTTCGGTGGTAAAATTAAAGTGAAGAATCTTAAGACAGCACTTGATATTAACGCACATCAACACATTTTGAAACTTCCCATGTTCACATACGACCTTAAGGTGATACATGAAGAGCCATTCAATCTTGAATTTTCAGCAAAGAAAAGGAAGGGATAGTAATGCAAGTTGGCTTACCGGGCATTATTAAGACATTGTGTTCAAGCATTGCACCACACCTTTAAACTTTCCTATAGTAAACGCTCTAAAGAATATCAGTGCCATGACCGCACCATTATCCTTGAATCTTGCTCCAAACTCTTCTCAGTTCTTTCTCTTGTTCGTTCTCGCATCCCATGCTCTGTTTTTTTGCATTTTCATTTCTCTCCCACTGTGCTCCATTTTCTCATCCGTTCCCAGCTCTCTCCTTCCTCTAGTTTTTCTCTTCTTTTTTCTGGTTTTTTTTCTTCTCCCACTCTCAGTCTCTTTATTTTCTAGAAAGCACTCCCTCTCGGACACTCGGTCTTTCTCTCCTGTGCTAGCCTAAGAACCCACGTTTGCATGCATGCAACTGTCTCTGCTCTCTTGCTCTCCTTCCAACTTCTCAGTTCTCTTTCAAGCTTCTTCTCTGCGTCCCTGGTCGTCCACTCTCTCTCAGCTCTTTTTCCTTCCTCCTCATGCTCTGTTTTCTTCTCACGTCCTCTCCTTCTCATTTTTTTCAGTTTCAGATCAGTCCCTCTATGCTCTGTTTTCTGCTTCGTTTTCTCATCCCTGTGTCTCCCTCTCGGTCTCTCTCTTCTCTTCGTCCATGGCTCTCTCATTTTTCAATCTCCCTTTGTCTTTGTTTCTCCCCTCCTTCTCGAACACTCTCACTCTTTCGTGCTCTCTTTTTTTCTTTTTTTTCCATTTTTCTGCTTGTGCACGTTTTTATGCTCTGTTTTACTCTCTTCTGTCACGTCTCTCTGTCCTACTTTTGCATGCATTTCTAACTCCTTTTCTTTGCGTGCGTGCTGTGTTTCTGCTCCTTTTCTTTGCGTGTGTTTGGCTGTGTTCATGTGTGTGTGAGTTTGCTCTCTCTCTCTCTCTCTCTCTCTTCCTTTCTTGCTTTTTTTTTTTTGCTTTGTTCGTCCCTGCTCTTTGTCTCTTCTCTGTGCAATCGAAAGAAGACAAGGATGTCGTACTTTTGTCCATTCTCTCTGCCCCTGTGATTCAGATGACTTGGATGGCTTGCTTTGCCTGCTCTTTGCTTATTCGCGTGACTGGCATTCTCTGCGCTGAGGAAAGTGTATCTATTCAGCTCTCTATTACTGGTCCAGCAGAAAGTCCCCTCTACTTGCTTTCTTAGCTTGTCTAGCCGGTTGTGGTTCACCCTCCCATTGTATTAATTAATTTATTTTTTTATGTTTAATGCCCCCTTTTTGTTATGTTAATTAAAATTTTGCACATTAAATTAAGAGAGAAAAAATTAATTTTGAATTATGCAAGATTATATATATATATATATATTTAATGGAAAGCAACAAGATTTAAGTAAAGAAATTTTCTTTTTTTTTTTAAAATAGTTGATTCTTGCAAAGTTGATTTTCAATATTTTGAATGATTGGAATAATTTGGGAGAGGTTTTAAAGGATTTAAGTAAGATTTTTTTGATTTTGTTAAAATATTATCATTGTTTTTTTGAAAATATAATCCTAAAAAGGATTAAATTTTATTTTTTTTATTTTTTTGATTATTTATTATTAAATTTAAAAAAAATATCCGGACAAAATACAGTATTCACAGAGCCTTAGATGTGATTATAAGAAAAACAAACTTGTGAAAGATTTAGGTCATAATATTACAAGTTACAATCCTACCATCAATTTAAGAAAAGGGGAATGACAAATGATAAAAAAAGATCTCATAAAAAGATTAATATTAAATTAAGAAATTTTTAAAATTTTAATACTGAAATATAAAAAAAAGATTGTTGAATTTGGAACCTTAATTATGAAAAGATATTGATATTGATATTTTTATAAGTTCTTTATTTATTCTCCTCCTTATTGTATATAATATTTGATT